GCATATGTAGTATAAAGACACACCAAAAAACACAATAAGAAAGATTTATGGCTAGGGCAACCAATCCAACAAAGAATAATAGCCAAGCATAAAAAATACTACTTAGCATCCTAGATTCTGGCATAACACACAATCTAAAGAAAAGTTTCCTAACCTAGTACTTAAGTTCATGGGGTGAGTCTCCGGCTACCATTTTACTTTGACGAGGCCGACACACCGGCCCTACCCTAAAGATCCAAAGGACCTCAAGGATGTCACCTAATTTGGATTTTAAAAAAAGGGTTGGCCTCACATATGACCTATCTTGCTACGTGCATAGTTTTTAAAATATGAAAATTTTAATAAGTCAAAAAATATAAATTTTTATATTTTAGGACAGTGGCTATTAAATGCGAGCCCGTAACATGCAAGGTTAGATCCCTTGGATCCTTAACACAGTTATACTTGTGTCAATCTCAATGACTTAACTCACATCGCTCACTAGGATCAACCCAGCAAGCCATGCTCGTTAAAACATTGCGACCGACACGAGGTCGCTCTCCTAACAAGCAATAAAATCATCAAGGTTAATGGGCAAGCACACAAACATGAAAATAGTCTACATTGTGATTGCTCAACTGAATTATAAAACAACTACAATGGGAACCTAAAAGGGAGAACGCACACCATGAAAAATTCAAGGATGCTACATGCAACATGACACATAAGAACGAGATGTACCAGCAAGAACATGGCACCTATGTGAGGAATTATGCCCATCGGGGACTCGATGTAGCATGCAATAAGCATACGCCAACTATAAGTGAGTTCACATTAAGTGAAAGGGTACCTATGTGAGGGTTTACACCTTACCCAAAAAAGCAGCCACTGAGCATGCAAGAAAACATGCAAGAATATGCAATAAGCATAGGACAAGTGGGGTGAGAGTGTCACAGAGGTAGAAACTCAAAATGTTGGGTGTGTCGTGGAGGCAGAGGCCCGACAAATGAGTGTACCGTAGAGGCAGTGACCCGAAGGGTGGGCATTTCGTGGCGGCAGCGGTTTGAAAAATGGGTGTGTCGTGGAGTCATTGACCAAGAGATGGGCTTGCATTGTCTGCAGTGACCCAAGAAAGTGGGTGTGACTAGAGGCAGTGACCCGGGGATGGGTGTGTCGTGATGGAAATGACCCAAATAGAAGTGCAGCTCAAGCAAGAAATAAGGCTCATGTAAGTAGGCACATACATGATATGATGCAACTTGTAAGCAAGCATGCATGCACATATACATGCACAACTTGAAATATGATGCAAGTGATCGGTTGACTGGGCCATGGTGACCGGACGGGCTGAGGTGGCAGGTTAACCGGGTCAGGGTGGCTAGTCGAGCAAAAGTGATTGGTCGATCGGACCAAGGCGGTTGGTCAAATTAAAGTGGTCAGTCGACACATAACAAACAGTCGAACCAAAAAATGGGGTGATTGACCCGAGTCGGCCGATCGAACCTAAAATGGGTAATCGATACTTGGCAATCAATCTAACCCAGAAGATAAGGGATCGGTCCAGGATGGTCGATCGAACTCAATAGAGGATCGAGGATTAGTCTAGGGCTATCGATCGACCCGAAGTGCTGAAATGGTCATGCATATGACATGCAAGATGATCCACACACTAAAGGTATTATGAATGGTCATGCATTTGCAATGCAACCAAATACGGTCTACTACACGTTGAACTCATCCTAATGGCCTCACGTAAAAAACCTACGGTTGACACACTTGAATTTGCGGCATCGCCACCTCAGGCTTTGGTGTGACAATGTGGAGGGCTTCCCCCTCCGATTTCTCATAGGGGAAACTCTCCATCATTCATAGGGCGAACTAGCTACAAAGTTTTTTCCTTCTTATAAACGCCAGCAAACTCACGGAATGGGCTAGCTACAAAGCTTTCCCGTTCCTTGAGTTTGAACTCAATGAACTCCTCCAAAGGAGGTTGGGAGTGCCAAAGCCATAAGAAATTGAGGTTTGAACCCACGGGGATCAAGACTTAAGGCTCATAACACAAGGGATCACTCGGCTTCATATAGGAATGACCAACACATGTGATTTCTACTCTATGACTCCTTCTAAGCAAACCAACGATCCATCACATAGGTGGCACGCCCGGTGACACTTATCGATCGGCACATCCACCCCACGTAGGTGATCAAACTCATTTGGCTAGGCCAGACTAAACCTAGGGCCAACTAAGGGATAAGAAAATCTCACCACCGTTATAGTTGTGGACGCGTTCTCTTTATGTTGAAGGAGAGCCCACATGTCAACGTACCTCACAACGAACAACGCAAATGAGGGAAGATAGAAGCTAGTGAGAGGGTCCGTTCGACTTCTAGGAGGAAGATTTTCCCACAAGGTAGAAGACATCGATGCCTCTTCAAGCAGCTGCGTTGTCGTTGTCCGTTGATGATGAAATGCTCCAATGAAGCATCCAATGACTAGAAATGTGAGACGACGAAGTGGCAAAGCTTGTATTTCTATGGAACCCAACCAGAACAGAAAATGCAAGGAGGGTGAAAATCTAGGGCTATGCATGGGAGCGAGACTGGTTCGTCACCAGCTTAGCTCCAACAAAAAGGTAGGTTGGCTAAATGTCGCCGGCTAGGAGAAAGAAGCCGAAATGTGGCCGACCAAGAGAAAGAAGAGACAAAAGGGTGGCAGCCGGTTGCTGGAAAGGAGGCTCGACAGTTGAAGGTCCCAACGAGGTAAGGGACTTCAAGTGGTACCGACAAAGTTGGGAGTTACGCTGGCAAGACAGACCCACGAAAAGAGGAGGCTTGGCCGACCAGGAAGAAGAAGGAGATGAAGGTGGTGGTTTGGCCAGCGGCTCAAGGTGAAGCGCAGACGACTGGTGGCTCGGGTTTCAGTGGCGAGGAGGATGAACGACAAGGAGGGAGGCACAGACGAAGAAAGAGGGAGCTTAAGGCTAGGGTTTTCGCGAAAATGGTGCTTGGGAGTAAAGAATTGCAAACATGAGAGAGGGAGGATGTGATAGTTTTATAGGGGGGGATATAATAATAATAATATTATTAAAATAATAAGAACAATAATAATTATTTAATTAACCATCATCTAGTGCTTTTTTTTAACCTGGATGCGCCATCATTTTGAAATGAAGGTCCTCTCTAGGTAAAATTGACGTTCCAGACGCACTCGCTTGATTTGTTTCATCATTTGAGGTCGTTCAGACAATATTTTTTACGATCAGGCCAAAATGACAATTCACACATTTTTAGCCTGCATGCAAAGTCGTAGCAAAGCGGATGTCCTCCCTAGGTAAAATCAACATTTCGGGCATACTCGTGCGATCTGTTTTGTCATCCAAGTGATTTGATCAAGCTTGTCGATGGATGTTCTAATTTGCATCATTTTTGTTTGTGACACAGAAAGTAATATTCATCGATATGATCAAGTCATTCGAGGTACAAAATGTTGACTGACCTTCACCCGAGCGAAAGCCAGAGCCTAGTAGAAAGACCTTAGCTGCGTGCCCCTCAAAACTCGTCAGAGGATCTCAAATGTATATCTTGTGCCACGTGATTCAACACAGGCATCAATTAAGATTCCATAACACTCGAGCGAACATCCCACATAGGTGACATAAAAAATTGATGCCAACATGCCTCAGTACGTCAGTCCACACTGGTTGGTTTCTTCCTCCACAAGGGCGGATCCGACACTATCATGGTATAACCTATCATCTTGCTTCTCCCAAGACAACCACGACTCTGCATACCTCCGCAAATTATCCTGACATCTGGTTGGTGATCCGAGTTTTCAAATCTTGCAGGTCCTGCTGGACGAATTATTCCATGAATTCGTTAGTGCATGCTGCTTCCATTACGTTTCTCTGGCTAAATTCTCCCTGTTATTGTTGTTGGATTCCTCTTCTTGTTGACGGTATGTTTCCACGCTCACCGCACATGTTGAATCCGAAAATATCGGAGAAACACATCCAAGGTATAGAACGTTCTATTAGGAAGTGATTAGAAAGAGAGAGAGAGAGAGGGCGAAGTAGAGAACAATAAAAGAGTCTAGACTTTATTCATGACATGAACCCCCTATTTATAGGAATATGTCACAATTATTACAAAATTACAAGTCACCCTCCTCAATCTTAGTTTGATGGAAGGGGGAGATAGTAATTACAAGAACACTAGAGTATAATGAGGCTGACAAATATATTTGGTCGATGAGAAGTCTGTCGACTGCTCGCTACACCTTGACTCCATTGGCACACGGTCCGGGACAGAGTAATTCGTTGATTAGCTTTGGAGTTGATTTTCGTTCTATAAGAAATTCCTCGTCACATTCTTCCAATCACCCGACCTCAATGCCTTTTTCATTAGCATCAAATCTTTTGAATGTTAATAAGGCGTCTGATCGATCGTTCCTCGCTCCAAAACCATCCGTTTGCCCTGAGATTCACACTGACATATTTTTTATATACATATATAAATAGGAAAATTTAATATATATTTTAATGTAGTTTAGATAATTTATTAATTTTATCTTTATTGCCAATTACTAAAAAAAATAGAGGTTTGGTGACTTCGCCGACCCTAAAACGCAATGTTGGTTCAACCCTGGATAAATAATAAGTATACATTAAAGAGTTGTTTGTTTTGCTCTAAAGAGGGTGTAAAGTAAATGAAATGCTTTTAATTTGAAAAGTTTGCTATTTGGTTTAAGAAAAACAACATGGAGAGTAAAATTGTTACTCGTTGACAGACGCTCT